ATATTCGAAATTCGTCACCAGTGGGTTTCGAACCCCCTACCTGGCCGACATATCGCTTGGGGGTGCGACAACTTAACCACTTTACTAAGTCGCCACACCCTTATTGCTTTTACTATTGCTAAATAATTTTCTTTTTCTTTACTAAAATTTACATAAAAACTTTGTTCATTAACAGAATATTCTAAAGCCTTTAAAACTACTTAATCACTATTATGATACAATTATGTTGCTTGAAATTGAAACTTTTGATTTATTAGTTTACCAAATTTATGAGCCCTTTTTTCAAGTATAGATTGACTACATTGATTTATTGGTTTTAATCGCTTTGGTGGTTCTATACGATTTTAACTGATTCTAACTATGACCAAAATATATATATATCAGATATTAAAACATCTTTATTAAAATCAAAAGCCTAATAATAAAAAGTAATTAATTAATAAATATTATATTTTATATAATTAGTAATTATATTACTACAATATTTTTATGCATCACTAATCTATCAATTAAATTATAAATGAATCTAAATTTAAACAAATCTAATTTATTAATAAACAATTTATCTATCATCTAGAGAGGATCTGCAAATTTTATAAGTAAATTTTACTATTAAGCCAAATATAGAGAGATTTCTTTTAAAACTTTTTTTTCTTACTAAGTAAATTCCTCTTGGACTTCTAACAAAAGTTGTAGAGCTCATCAAGATGTATTTAATTGTGGTAAAAATGCTAAAATTGGCCTTGTAGTTCTTAAAAAATCTTTAAAATATATTTGCTAACATATAAAATTTTTTTAAAAAAATTGATTTTTTTTAAAAAAATTTTATATGTCAGCAAAACATTTTTTAAAGATTTTTCAAGAACCACCAAGCCGATTTTAGTATTCTTACCACTATTAGATACGTTTTAATAAGCTCTACAACTTTTGTTAGAAGGCAAAGAGTGATTTACTTAGTAAGGAAAAGTTTTTTTTTTATATTTTTTTAAAATATTTCTATATTTACTATTTGAAAATTTTTATATAATTGGCCAGAGTGAAGTGACGGACTCATACTTCTATGAAGAGTGATAACTAAAATTATGTTTTTGATATACTTATAATAAAAATATCAAAATTGTAGTTGTTACATTTTTAGTCTGTAATGCCACTTAACTATAATTGCATACCAGTATAACAACAATACTATTTTATGTATTTGTTATGTGTATTATGCAGCCAATCAAATCTATCATACTTAGTAAAAAATTTTAATTCCTAACTCAAGAATTCAAAGCTTTATTATTAGAATTTGATTTTATTTTTTTACATTTAGAAGATTGCACGTTCTATAATTCTTTCATTGCTATCTTTAGATATTTGCCAAATTGTTTATTAAACTGCGCATTTATATTTCAAGAATTAATAAAATGACCAGTATGTTATTTATTATATCATTAAGACTTGAATTATGTGCATGTATAATAAAGATTTTTGTAATTATGTAATTACCCAAAAATTATTAGATTTTAGACTATAAAAGGTAGACAAGCAGTTAATAATTCTTAAATTGTTGATATTATTAAATAAGAATCACTTTTAAACTAAACTATTTATTTAATATTTTTGAGATTGCAAGAAAGTTTAGTGACCGAATTTATATTTCAAATTTTATTTCAAGCAATATATGTTATGATAACTTTGATGGCAATCTAATTGAAACAATATATTTATTATATAAGACTTGAATTACGTCCAGATATAATACTAATTTTCTGTAATGAGTTCTGTCTGTAAATACGAATTTAAATTTTTATTTTGCAAACTTAAGCTCAAAAAATTTGAGATTAAGTTTTGCAATAAAATTTAAATTTGCATTTCCAGATTTTCTCTTGACTGCGCTCTAAAATGAAATCATCCAAATACTATTGCTAGGTTTATAAAAAGTAAACAAACAATTTAAATTCTTGAGATTAAAAAATAATAATCTCTTTAAACTAAACCATTTTTTTAATGCAAGTATGAAGATTTACAGAGTTTACAATATATCGATACCTAATATTACAGTAGAAAATAAGCTATATATTGCTAAGAAAACAGCCCTCTGATTTAATTTTTATATGATAATATAATTATTCATAGTTACCTTTAAAAAGTGTTGTTACTGAACTAAGTAAACATATTTTTAATTAAAATTAAATATATAATAAATTTCAATTCGAATATGTTCAGTTAGTCTGATTTGCTTAATTAGTCTAATTTATAATACTGCTTGTAAGTATTATATATACTTTACCGAATTTATATTTATTAATTCATTAGTCTTCTAATTAGTGTTGGCATTGGACATATATGTTTAATTGTTTTCAAAATTATTGGACATATCTCCAGTGCAAACACTACTTCTAATTTAATATCTATAAAATATCTTAATTCATTAAAAAAGCTGAAGAGATTATAAAAGCAAATAAATAAATATCTATAGCTTTAACTATTCTTGAAATATAGTATGGGCAGATTTTGTTGATTTTGGTGATTATTAAAAATAAATAATAATAATTCATAAAGTTTGATCCAATTATTTATGTAACGTTGAGAAATTGCCAATATTAAGCATTAAAACTATAATAAAATTTAATCTAAAATTGTCTAGAAATATTTTGCACTTAAGAAACAAAATGCCATTATCGTAATAAAATTTTGCAGTATAAGGCCATGCAAAATTAATTAATTGGTTTTCATAACCCGGCCAGGTCAAAATTTGAAATCTTGTAAAAAAAAATTTTTATATGTTTTAATAACCGGGTAGGCTTTTTAAAAAATTTTAAAAAAATTTTATAAAATTTTTATATATGAAATTTAAAAAAAAAAAGCCAGCCGGCCGGGTCTGTTTGAAAGTTTCATGTTATAAAAACCAAGATATTAAATTTGTGCGGCCTAATTTTTAAAGTTTTTATTTTTTTATAATATAAAAATCAATTTTCTGCAAAAAATTTGATAATTTCATCGATATTTGTATAGCCAATCAATTAATACATATATGATGTACATATATTGAGAAAGTATGCAATGCATCAGAAAAGTTACTGGGTTGATATATAATAACTCACTATATACTCAAAAATCAGAACACTAAAACTACTTTAACCAAATCCTAATATTAGTAAGGCTTCGATTGAGATATAGAAAGACTTGTTTTAAGTAACCAGAATTAATTAAGTAGCTAGAGACTCAAATGAGTTTTCTCTTACTTCTTTAATAGATACTTTACTTTCTTTATCACCTTTACTAATATAGTAATATTAGAAATTCTTTTTGCAGGTACTGCGGCTGGATCTTATGATCAAAATTGACCAATTGGAATCTGGTACAAAGTTACAGTATCAGAATCAGGTATAATGACATTAATCACAAACTTAATCCAGATCGTATATAAGAGTTGTATTATATACTAATACAATTTCTTTCTTTTAATAGTCACAGAGAAAATATGAAATATACGAACGATTTTTAATAAAAAGGTACAATAGGTTAAAGACAAATACTTCTACTCTAATTTCAAAGGTTTGCAAACTTTAGAAGTTTTTTTTTTGGAACTTTACAAGTTAATTTTTATTCAAGCAACAAGACGAGACTTTATATTTTTTGTAATTATTAATATAAGCACTATGTTCACTATGTTTACTATATACCTATGAGTACTATATTCACTATATACCTTATGTACGTATATATGTATGTACGTACTTAATATTCAAAATACGCCAAGTTGGCAAAGCTGAATATATATTTGATCTATCAAATATAGACAAACCTATTATAAGCAACAATCTACATAACCTTTTATTTATTACGTATTAATATTAAATTACTATTACTCTTTTTATTTTTTAGATATTATAGATATCAGTCATTCTTCTTCACTTTTTCGATTTTGTAATCTTTTATAGTTTTTAATTCGCTGAAGCCTTTCAAAACTGAAAGGTTTAAAAAGAATATCAGTGAGGGTACAAACTTGAGACACTGCCACGAAAGAAAGACTAGCTGCAAACTCTTATCTATTATAGCATTTAGAAGAGTGAGTCACTGACTTTTATGAACCGTAATGGCCCAGACAAGACAAACAGGAATCTGTGTTCGTGAGCACAATACTCCAGATTTACTTTCCCAAGTACATTGAATAGGCACTATTGGAATAACATTTACACCTTCTAAAGTTTTAATAGCAGAACTGTTGTAATTGTCAAAAGCAATAAAGACTGCTACAAGAAGAGAAGGTGGTCTATTCTTATTGTATAAAATATTATAAATAGTTTCTATTGATCTATTAACTAACCCAGCTTCTGTCTATAGATTTGCCATTAACATAACTCAAGCACCTTTAGCTAATAAAAATTGTGCTTCAAGACTTTTTGCAATGTCAAAGTCAGCTTTTTTAGCTTCTTGGTTACTAGTGTGTTTAGCAAAGACTTTTGCAACAGAATGCTTTAAAAATTCAAGTTTATTTAAGTTAACTGCGTTGATATCAGTCCATTTGGCAATATAAATATAGCATTTAAAAATCAATCATATTCAGTTCTATTATGTTTTTTTTCAACACATGTTGTGAATATTTTTCAATCTTCAAGTGTAGACTCGCCATTATGTAATCTTAGAAGAATTTCTCTAAAAATCTGTTGCTCTCTAGAATCTCCAGATTGGCACTGAATAATATCAAGTTTATACACCTCACGAAACTGACCGTATGATATAATACCACTATTAGATAATGGGTCTCTTGAAACATTAGCAGCATATATGAGAAAATCAAGTACTAGTAGAAGTTGACCGAAATCTCTGATCATAATAATAGATCTACCACCAAATGGTTCATTTTTATGCTTAGGAAAAGCTTGTTGCAACTGAATATCAATCAAATTGAGCATTCGACACCTGACTATGCTTTTTTCATCAAGGACTAAGTATTTTACATTTTGTAGCTTTGTTTGTAGTCATTTCAACTGTTCACTTTTCAAATCAATATTATTTCCAATTTGCAATGGAATGAAAAGTGTTAAATAAATAGTTGCACCGTTAATATTGTATGCGACAGCTCCTGTTGGTGCAAGTACAAGTACAGATAGTTCAGATCCAATCTCTGCTATTCTACAAAGTTGACTTCTAATCACTTTAATCAGGTACGATTTATCTGTTTCTGCCATTCTCATAACTATAATCTTAATAGCTCAACTTAAGAACCAGAAAGTATACTTTGGTAATGTGTCTCTATTCATTTAAAAACCTTTTATTGAATTTCATTTAATGTTTGATAATCAACAGTATCTACAACTCTATTTTTGCCTCTTTTTGTTCTAGTATTATTAGAAGCCTGATAAACAAATATATTAACATCTGTAAGATTGTTAATAGAGTAGTGCCATCTAGTATCATTAATCTAGTCAAAGTTAATATCCATATCACAAGATCCCAATTCAGAAAACCTATTTATAACTAGGTTTGGATCTATTGCTGCTAAACACATCTAATCAAGCTAAAATTCATTCTCTTTATCTTCAAGTTTATCTAATTCATCTTCAACATTCTCATTTTCTTCTTAATCTACTGTATCAATTGGAGAACCAAGTAGATCTATTGTATCAGTATTAATCTCTTCAAGATATTGACTATATATATTTAACTATTCTATAGTATTATTTACAGTTAGCTATTCAAGATATCAATGTTTAATATGAAGAAGAACTTTAATGTGACAAAATTCTTGCCATTGAGGACCATGGCATAGAGATAATAGGTGTGACTATATACATATAACATTTTCTTGTTTGCACTTTACCCAACGACTATTGACAAATTTGTATAATAAATAGAGTTGATACAAAGAGAAATTTTCGAATTCTAATGACCAGTCCCAATATATCTTTAAAGATAATTTTGATGTTAGTCCTGCATTTCTAACCAATATAAATTCATTATCTTCATTGTTACCAGTACCGTAAAGCCACCTTGCCCTATGAAAAAAATATGCTGAAATTATCTTGAATTAATACTTAAATTTTTCAGTATAAAATTCTGTATAGAATTATATTGAATTGACTACAAATTCTGTATCACATGATACAGAATATTTATACAGAAACCTTTTTATTAATGATTTTAATAGTATATATTATATTTATTTTTATATATAATTAATATAATTAAGATAAGTTTTGTATAAATTCCATATATAATAAATATAGTTGAAGATAAGTTTTATATAAATTCTGTATATAATAAATATAGTTAAAAATAAAGTTTATATAAATTCTGTATATAATAAATATAGTTAAAGATAAATTTTGTATAAATTCTGTATATAATAAGTATAATTG